CATAGTTTTTTTTAATGTCATTATATAAATTAACATGAAACCCCAATATAAAACCATTTCTATTTATTAGGCAGAAAAAGAAGAAACAAGGATACCAGGATACAACGATACAAGGATACAAGAAAGAAGAAGATTTGCTCAACAGGATCCAACATTCTACCTGTGGGTATTAAGCGACGTATTCTTGGTTAGTGTTCATGTTAAATACTTAATTAACCCATTAGTGACATGAGCGTCATTAACGGCACATAAATTCAACCCCTGATTTTCTAACTATCTATGCTAGACCTTTCATAATTTTTCTACAAATAAATACAGCATCTTTTGACTGTCTGGTCACGATGGCACCTGCATCAATATTTTTTTAATTTCACCCAGTAAATCGTATCAAATTCTTAAAATTTCCAAAGGAAACTTCAACGGCCACTTCTAAATTCTATGTTTTAAACAATTGATTGAATTGTATTCAGCACACTTCACAATATATAGTGTACACTGAATTCTGCACATTTTACACTATACTCTGTATGCTGCACACTTCAAACTGTACATTGTACACTGCATACTGTTCACTGAACATTGCCCACTGTAAAGTGTACACTGCTTACTACACACTGCACACTCAAAACATTGCAATGTTTAATTTAATTTTNCATTGAACGCTGAACAATTTGTACACTCTTGGCTGTACACTCATGACTGTACACTGTGTACTCAATAGGTTAATCCAAATGTGTTGATGTAGATGCAAAAATATATATTTTTTTTGCTTTGTATTTTTGCAAACAAGTTTCAAAACATAAATTTCTTAGAGACTCCTATGAAAGCTGTCATTAAAATTTCATGTAATTCTATCGTCGTAGGAGCTGGTCGGTAGTAATGGGTTAACTAAAGCAAATAACATATCAACAGTTCATAAAATATCACTGATAATATGATATTTAGGGATTCAAGCTAATCTCCAAAAGATGGCAAGTTCTCCCAGTCCTCCGCGTTCACCTGATCTAGTGAGAATGGGAAGTGCTCACAGTTCTCCACCGTCCTATATCTCTTGATTTCGAATATAATTTATTTTTTTTCAGATTAAATGATGGTTAATTCTAATTTAAAGTTTTTTACAGGCCTAAGGCTAAATATTTACCACTTTATCCATAAAATCAATTTGATAAAAAAATAAGTTTTCTTTCTTATTAAAAATTAAGTTTTATTTCTTATTAAAAATTTGGTCCATTTCATTCTAATTAATTTAACTAATAAGTCCAAAATTCTGAAAACGAAATAATCATCAAAACAGCACCTTCAACTTTCAGTATGCAACAGGTAAAATATTTTGCATCAAATATGTAATCCCATCTTCCCCCCCCCCTCAACATTTATTTTTTTACATTCTATATTCTTATTCGATTTGATTTATATTAAAAAAACTTCTTATAATGTGTCAAAGTACTTTTTAACTGGTTTTCCCCTGAAATTTTAGATACTTTCCTCAATCAGCCACACCACCCTGTATTTCAGAACTAATAAAATTGATTTTACACACGCTATTAAAAGTTATTCATTTAAAGTTATTCAAACTTGATGTATACCCGAGTTAAGGCTTTTTTTCCCCGACGATTTTAAACTAATTAAAAATAAGAAAACGGGGTTTTTTTTCCTATCTTAATATTAAATCTAGTAATCTTGTTTTTTTTGGTCTCTAACACACAAAAATACGGTTATACAAATTTATACAAAATAATATAACGTTTCTAAATCTATTTTAAAAATTGCGACATCTCGGTTCAATATTAAGATAGAAAAAAATAAAAACATATTTAGAAACATTATTCTATTTAGTACAAAGTTGTTTAACCGTATTTTTGTGTGTTATATGGCCATGGACCATAAAGGTGTTATATGGATTTAAAATATGTACATTTTTTCCCGAGTCCTAAAGATTAATTAGTTGAATATCGGCGAGGGAAAAACCCTGACATGTCGGTTCAATATTAAGATAGAAAAAAAATAAAGACATATTTAGAAACGTTATTCTATTTTGTACAAACTTGTATAAACGCATTTTTGTGTGTTAGAGACCATAAAGGTGTTATATGGATTTAAGATATGTACATTTATCCCCGAGTCCTAAAGATTAATTAGTTGAATATCAGCGGTGGAAAAAACACGATCTTTTACGTCTATAACACACACTCAATAATGGCTCTACAAGTTTTTACAAAATAGAATGCAGTTTTTAAATCTAATTTTGTTTTGTTTCCATCTTGATTTTTACCCGAGTTCAATCTTTTTTCCCCCAACGATTTTAAACTAATTAAAAATCAGAAAACGTGGAATAGTATGTCTTTCTTATAAACAGTATCACGTTTTTAAGGTCTACAGCACAGAAAATGATGGCTCTACAAGTTTTTACAAAATAGAATTGTTACGTTTAAATTATTTAAAGTACAGTTCAGATAGCATATAGTTGCCATTCTATTCCAAAATTTTGGTTGTCCTATTGTGAGTTTACCTATGTTTATTTCTTGGATTTCAATTGATATGTTTACATTATCATCTGAAATATAATATTTACATTATATTGTGAGATTTTTACAATGTACAATGTATAATATTACATAGTACTGAAGGACATATACTACAACCTTGAATAATAGTCTTTCACGAGGAGAGTAATTGCCTTGTTTAGATTGTATGGGGTATAAGGTTCGTCTCTGCCCCTATTATCTATGTTCTTCTGGTTCATGATATAGGGTGAATAAGTCCCCCTCCTGCCCCTAGCAAACATCTTGTTCTTCTGACGGTTTCCAGTCTTATTCTTGGTTCTAGGGTTGGACATGTAATGATAAGAATATTATGATTGAAAATTCAAGAAACTTTTACTGTTTGTAAAATGTTAGATGAACAAAAAAATTAAATGTTTTCGTTTTTTTAATTGGTTTTAATTTTCTTGTTTTTCTTCGCTAGAGAGATATGTAATTAGGATTAAAAACAATGATTAAATTGAATATTAAATAGGTGCAGTATTGTAGACAAATTTTTTTTATAAATCATTTGAGACTTAATGAATTGTCTCAACTAGCGTGTTTGTATTTAATTTATGTTGGGCAATTATTATTTTGAAATTGAAGAAAATTATTGTTCTATTAAAATTTTAAATTATATTGTTGAGACAAATTTATATATAATGCCCAATCCTACCTATCTGTCCCTGTTGCCAATTTCTGAAGTCGTTTAAGTAGACCTATATTTTATAGAAATTAATAAAAATATTAGATAAAGGAAATTATGAGGTTCTACCACCCTCCCCCCCTCCCTGAAAAGGTAAACTATGAGTTAAGCTCATACTGGATGCAAAAACTGGGTTGTGATTTGTAAAAGACATTTATTTAGAAAATTTATCAATTTAGTAATTCATAAACATGGTTATTTTGATTTTAAAAAAAATTGACCTACTGGGTTGTACGGAGTCGGAGGTTTAAGGATTTGATTCTTGTTACCCAGGGGAATAAAGTTCACTCCTGATTTCTTCATTCCAAGATCTTCAAAAAATGTTTGGATAAACAATCAATTATAGTGTAAAAAATAATAGTAATCAATCTTTCTAAATATTTTTTAACACAGTAAGTTGAGTGTGTCATTATAATTCAGAGTCTGAATTTAAAAAACTTGAGCTGGATGCTATCTCATTTGAACTACTCCTGGGTTTGAAATATTGTTCATTTGAACTATTGTTCGTTTGAACTACTGCACATGGTACCACGCAAGTAGTTGAAATGAACAATAGTTCAAAAGAGTTTGAACTATTTACAGTTCATTTGAATTGTTGATTATTTAAACTATCAATATTATATATGAAATAAACAAAAAAAATAGTTCAAATGGATATAAAAATAATTGAAATGAAAAAAAAATAGTTTAAATGAACATAAAAATAGTTCAAATGAACATAAAAATAGTTTAAATGGGTAAAAAATAGTTGAAATGAACATAAAAATAGTTCAAATGAACATAAAATAGTTCAAAGAGCACAATCAATTTTGTACATGACCATTATTTAAATATTAATTAATTTGATAAAAAAAATGGTCATGTACAAAATTGATAGGGGGAGGGGTCTTAAAATCGTTCTCTAGGAAATTATCCTATATTCATCGAAAATTTTTAATCATTGTGTATTATTTCGGGGTTATGTTAGGTTAAGATAATTTATGGACCTAGCGCTGTGGCTAGGGCGACTCTGCTAGATTAGGTTAGGAGGCCGGGCTCTGCAGCGGCCCCATGGCTCCAATTATACCCTAAAATGATGTGTATAAGTTGATAGGGAGAGGGGGCGGGCGTGCAAAAATACTTTACAAGAAAATTACCAACGAGGATGATTTTATTTGCATTGTCGGCTAGGAGGGCCGTGCGATTCGGCAAGGACATTCTAGATGGTGCTGAGCGCTGCAGCTGGGACAATTTAGACGGCACATAGCTCTGCAGCTAGGACATACTAGAAGGTCGGGCTTTAACCTATCAAACTATGACTCTCCCCCGCCAGCCTTGCTTATTCAAAATTACTTAAAACTAAGTTCTGCTATTATTTGCGGAAAATGCAAGGTTGTGATGAGAAATAATTAACTCGGTTTTCAAATATTTAATTTTAACATTTTTTTTTATAAAGATGTTGTTTTAGGTTGACGCTAGAGGAGGAAAAGATTGTGTTGTTGTCTGGGGGGAATGCAATCATTCGTTTCACCAGGAACAAACTCAAATATAATATTAATTTCTTTTTTTGCCATAAAGTTCAGCTAATATACTATACAAGGGACCACGTAATTTAGGGGATTTTTAAACATAAACATCTAACTTACCATGAGACCTTTTTAAATTTCGATTTCGACTTGTAACTATTTCATTCGTGGTTCTCAGAGTTATTGGTAAAAATGGATACCTTTCTACTAAATCCCCCCCCCCTCCCCCCTTTTGGGAAATATTTTTTATCTATATATTTGGATTGTTCTCAGTGCTGTATGTCTCTTTGGATTAAACAGAATAATAGGTGAATCCAGATTTATTGAAGTCTCTAATCTCTATAAATAGTCTTGGAATAATGTCTTCCTTAAAGTGAATAATCGTTCCAATGATTATTCAATCAGCAAAGGTTAATTTTTACTTGCCTGTTTACCGTTAAATTTTAAATTCAATATTTCACCAAAATACTTTTTTTTCGTTTCAAATCAATAGTTTCAACTATTTTTATTCCTTTTTGAAATTTTCCCTGAAGGAAAAATAGCGGCATTTTTTGGTTTCAAAATGAGTTTTTAGAATTATACAGTTTACTTACTTTTCTATTTTGAATATGGATTCTACCTTCAGGTGTCCGCTGTGTCAGCAGCAATGGTCCGTGCAGAAACTGGGGAAATAAAGCCAGTGCATTTATTACTTTTACTCAAACAAAAATATACTTTCAGATTTTACAATGGAAGAAATCGGAATCGACGTTAAAGAGGAGACCCAAGTAAAGGTAGGGAGATACCGGCTCTATCTTTTCAGAAAAGGGAAATGAAATGGAAAATTTTGGTATTGATTTGCATTATTACATTTGAAATGAGAAAAATATACTTGTCCAAAGTGTCTAATGTAGGTTTTCAACTAAAGTAATCTTTTTTCCTTCTGATTCAAGTATAAAAATAATTATAACATCAATGTGAAAAGCAAGAACAAAGGCAGCTGATCTATAGTAAACAAACATTAGTTAGTATACGGTGAATCTTCATCTAACGCCAGAGATGCACCAGATGTCTGTTTATCATTTGTGTTATTGTTTACAATCTTTATTATTGTTGTTACGCATAAAACTAGTTCTTCAGCAGGCGAAAAACGTCACAGCAAAGTGTACGGAAAGGGTCATTCCATGTCAAGTCAACCACCTATGGACGGCATGTTACAGATTTTGCTGAAATTTTGCATACAATTTGGGATATGAAAAAAAATGTCGGAACCCGAAGATGAGCGTTCTGAGACCTCCGAGGCCGGAGATATGGCTCCGGAAAGTTTCCAATAATTCGAGATTTTGAGGCCGGCCTCTATGTTTCAAATGGCTCTAACTTTTTTGTTTTAGAAGATAGCTCCAAAGTTTTTTTCAGTTTTGAATAGGTAATCACAAGCCCGTTATTTGGCGTTTAAAGAAAAAATATCATTAAAATATTATTTACAAGTCATAATTGCATTTAGATTTTATTCAAGGTATTAAGTTTTTGAATTCCTCTAGATTAATTTTATTCCAAATTTCTAGTTCCATTAAACAGAGATTAGTTCTACCAGTTTTCTCATGCATCATAAGTCTGGAGAGATTACTTTTTTCAATTCCTTCAGAAAAAGAGTCCTTTCTTCAACTGTTAGTTTCTTAATCATTTGAACAGCCTGTGTTTTTGAACACCTGAGCTTACTTCTATCGGTTGCGTTCGGCAAGCGATTATTATATAGATTATACGATGTTTCTAATTTAAAAATTGAATGACCACGACATCTTATCCATTTTATTCAAATAACCTCTGTTGTACGTTTAATGCCTTTAATGAAACTAAAAAGTGTGAATCAAATTCAACTTAATCAATCCATTTTGATTTTTTTAGGTCTTTTCCCATACCTCTTTAGTAAGTGCAACATGAAGTACTACCAGCGGCTCTTCAGACATACTAGGATGTGTGTACACGAAAACACGCCTGTATGGACCCAATCGATTCTAAAATTAGAAGAAAAATGTAAATTCATTTTATTTATTTTTATTTTTTTATTTAAACTTACTTTGAGATCCGTCCAGCCTCTAAGTGGATGAACGGCCTCGTAAACAGATATCTTCTCAAGCAGAGAACTAGCAGAGTCCCACGTGACTCGTCGGATATTCATAAATCCTTGAAAACAAAAGGGCGATTAAAAATGGGGCAAATTCTTGATCGAAATTTCCCGCATTTTCTTTCTACCTACCTACAGAAATCCAAACTGAAAGTAGATTCTTCAAACATTGCGATAACTCTTGCAAATCCTAATATTCTAAATTAAAACTTTAATATTCTATTGCTTCCAGACGAATGACGTATGAAAAAATAACCCAAGAATTTTATTTTTTTTATATTTTATTTTGTTAAAATGTGGAATATTCCTTGTGCTCTTGTGAGGTGGGGTCTAGAGTCTTCATTTGTGTTAGCACATCTTTTCTTAGATCAATCAAGAATTTGATTCCACCCCTATAACAATGAAAATATAAAGAAAAAAACTGTAAAAAATTATTAACAGGATTTAATAAATAAATTTTATTTGATAAATATATTTTATATTCATAATTATACAAATAAAAGAATAAAGGAGAGTGTTTAATCGCATTCAAAAATTCTTAAAGATTTATATTCAAGAAATAATTACATAATAATGATACTTTGCATATAATGCGACTTATAAAGCACAGGCTCCCAAGAAAATTGCAAAAATATAGTCCATATTAAAATAGAAATTGTATTCCACTTAGTTCAATAATTTTTTTCCGGATTCTTTTAGCCATACAAGCGTACACCCCCCCCCCTCTCTCCCCTCGAAAAGTGGGAAATTTTGAGCCAATTTGTTAATAATTTTAATCTGTGAAATTAATAGAACTTACCTTGTTTGACCAATTTTTGAAAATATTTTATTGATTGGCGGAGTTAGGACAGACTGCAGGGATTTCTGAAGTTTGTCAACTGCAAAAATAAAGTTTTTATAATTTTGTTTAATTATTTTTAGAATTTGGGCATAAGGGAAAAGTTTTCTTAACTTTTTATCCCACACAAGCCTTGCTTAACCTATTGTTTTAATTTTAAAAATGTCATCAATGAGGGGGGGGGGGGGTGAAGAGGCAGAAAGGTTTTAGGAAAAATTACAACAATTTAAAGTTAATGAATTAGAACTTACATTTTGCATCTGAGTTCTGTTTAAGGATGGTTGAGGCAGCTTCAAGAACAAGTTGTTTATCAATTCGACAGCTTGGAGCAAGATGGAGCAAAAAATCACGAACTTCTCCACTGCAATCAATCAATCAAACATTAGGTTATTGCTTCATTAGTTTCTTTGAACAATCCCCCCCCCCCCCTAATTGGAATTACAACCTAAGTGGCAATACCAAAGGAACAGATCATTTCATTGAAATTTGGCAATTAAAAGAGACAACATCTGATTGTTAAATAAACAGCGAATCGACGTAAATTTAACTGAACCCCTCTATGTAAATTAGTTGCATCGTCGATTCAAAACGGTAACCTTTCAGTCTTTGTTATTTGGGAAAATATTAGAGATATCTTAGATTAGCTATCAGAATTGATGTTTTGTCACTGCGAATTGTTTCTCATCCGAGGAAAGGAAGAAAAATGTATTTCCAGAAGAAATTTGTTAAGCTTATCGTGGATTAATTAACTAATTACATACCTTGGTAGTTTTGAGTATCCCTGGCAGAATTCGTAACAGTATCGTTCAGTTGTGGTAGAACTTGGCTCCTGCTCATTACTCCCTACTTCATAGAACATTCCATTTGTTTGTGTTAAAGGGACTGTAAGCTTAATTTCAAGTGATCCTCCATGCAAAGATGGCCATGCCCAATTACCATCGATACCATTAAACCTTGTCTAATAAGGTAGAAATTAGATGTCAATATTTTATTTCTATAAAATTTTTAAATTCATTTGCAGTTTTTCTGCGAAAGTGATTTACGGATTTCTTGCTTGCATGAAGAAATGTAGAATCTCACAGAAATGACACTATTCGAGCCAGAAAATCTTTGCATGGAGGGTCAATTAAAATTCTGAAGATATTCTCTTATACCCCCCCCCCTCTTTACTTTATTCGCACATATTAAAACAACAGGTTGAAAGAGTTGAAAACAGATTGCAGGATGTGACACGACCGGAGCAACCGCACATTTTCCACATAGAATGACCGTCATTCAATAACCGATGATCTAGCATCTAAAAATAATCACAACGCTTCACACTGGCCAAAAACAAATAAGAAAAATTTACCTAAAAGTCTGGATGTGTTTTTTAATTTATTTAATTCTCCATTGGGACCATGAAGTGAGCTTGCAAAGTAGAAATTCGCAATCCAGCATTTATTTGTATGAACTATTCGCTGGAGGCTTAATCCTCTCACTCCTCTAACAATCATGTTTTATTATTCAAATTCAAAATCGGTTCAGTTCAGAGTTCAAAACTGCATAATTCAGTTTCGTCAGCAGCTTTAGCGCACTTAGAGAAAAATGCCGCGGAATTGAATTTAAACTTCAAAATAAGAAAAGGGTAAGTCCCAGAAAACATGAAATATATAAATTTATTTTTAATTCGAGAAATCTTTAATGGAACAATTCGGTGAATTTTTATTTATCCTGATAACTTGGTATTTCAATTTTTCAATTTTCTGCTTAAAAACAAACAGAAATCCTTCTCTAACTTCAAGAATATCTCATTGACTTAACAACTAGATTTTTCGTATATTGCTTTGGAAAAAAAGAAAAAATAACCCCGACTCCTATTTTCGTATTACTTTGAATAAAAAGAAAATTTTTCAACTTTCAAATATAAAATTCTAAGACGACATCTCTGTAATCTTTGAGTTTGTTCCTTGACACAATGCGCAATTGCACCGTAACTTTTACAACTTTCGCAAATCATCCGGCGAATGACGGGCGATTTTTGATTTTAAATCTATTTTTTTCTTCTTAACACGACGCTGTCGTGATTTTGTTTATGGAGAAGCAGATAATGTAGAATTGAAGAGGGAAGGTTTGAGATGATGGAAGAATTAGAGAAGGTGGAAGATGGAGGGATTGAGAAGAAGAATGAAGAAGAGGTGAAGGAAGAAGGAGGTGGAAGGATGTTTACAATGAAAAAGTGGAATGCTGTGGCAATGTGGAGTTGGGATGTGGAGTGTGATACTTGTGCCATTTGCAGGAAAGGAAATTTTAACTTAGTCCTTTTAAAAATGCCTAGTTCTACTCATGTTTATTTTTCGAATTTTTGATGGTTATTAAGACTTTTCTTTTGACAGAGTTCAAGTTATGGATGCTTGTCTACGATGCCAGTCAGAAACCAAGGTAAGATTGTTTGGATGGTATATGTGCATAGGTTACACTCATGTTTGTTATTAAATGGCAGAAGTAAGTGGATGCCATGTTACTGTTATGTGGGGGATGTGCTCCTGTAGACAATAGATAAACCGAGAAACCATGCCAGACGAGAAGGTTCAGTCCTAGTATAAGATTTTTGGAATCCCTTTCCCCCCCCCCCCCC